TCAGGTACTGCAGGCGGCCGCGGCGGCGGCGGGGCGGTGGTAGCCCCGGTAGGGCGGCGGCGGCGCCGGCGGAGGAGGAGGAGGAGGAGGAGGTGGTGGAGGAGGAGGAGGCGGCGGCGGCGGCGGCGGAGGCGGAGGCGGCGGGGGAGGAATAGACGGTGGTGTGGTGCCTACTGCACCACCGACTACCGGCCATCACCATCACCACCATCACCATCATCATCACCTCACCACCACGACTACCACGACTACCACCACCACCACCACCACCACCTGCGGCACCAGACACCACAGGCACAAACTGCCTGCCGGCAAGCAGTGCACGGAACACCGTCACCACCCACATCACCACCGGCATCACCCACACCATCGCTCCCACCACCGGGGCATGAACATGGGCCAAAAGATTTCAGGTTAGGCGCCATGCTCTACAGAAAAACAAAGATTTTGCATAAGTCACAATAAAAGCCTTAAAGCAAAGACAGAAATTTTCTTTCCTTACAACCAGTTAAAGGAATTGAAAGGCATTACCAAATTATCATTAATTGCGCGATTCAGTATGCTTAAAATTTTTTATAATCTGAAATTCGCATCGGTTTCATGGATCGTCATGTTTATTTATTTATTTAACTGTTATTTATAAAAAATATTTATTTTGATTGATTTTGAAAATTAATATAATTAATTGTAAGCGTTTGGTCTCTTAAATAAATTTAACATAGTCGATTTTCGTATATCATGATATTGATTCCTACAATCAGAAATATATTTTCAAATGATTATTTATTAATATTGAAATTGATATCGATTGATATTTATTAATTGATATTTATTTATATCGTTGTTTTTATCTTTAAATTATAATTAACAAAGATTTATCAATTTTTTATTATCTTATAAACGACAAATCCGATTTTAATTCAGTATGAAATAATAAGAAAATAATTTCTTTGGAAATTTTTAAGAATAATGATTATAAAAATAAGTTAAGATCAAAATAACAAATATTTATATCTTTACCTATAGTAAGTTATTTCTATAAGACAATAAAAAAATCGCGTAAACTTTTCATACTTTATATACTATTTTAACTTTTCATATAACGTTTAAGTCGGAAACGTTATCATCCATTTTCAAAACTATTATTAAGTCGTTATAGTATTATCAGTTAAACATATTAATTTAATAGTTTTAATAGCTTTCTTTGTTTAAACAGAGTTATTAGATAATTATTAAATATAATAATTGTAAAATTATGTCGCGTTGAGATTTTTTGCAAGTAAAGAAAAAAATTACTAATGAACAATTTTTCTTATGAAAAAAATGTAATATACATTATTTTATGTTATAACATATTTATTTGTTGGTGTACTTTTAATTATCGAAAATCACAAAACATTTAGATTTTACTCATAAACGAGTTGGAATTTACGTGATTAGAATATTTTGCATCCTAGACAGTTAAATGGCCTCGTGAAGCGTTTGGAATCGAGGGTCAAGGTCTTTGACCACGCCTCATTTTACTTATGCCTTCGGGTAGAGCTTCGAACAAGTCCTTTTGACTTTCTTTCCTCAAGACATATGAGACTTCTTCCTGGTAAATGTTATATCAAGACGAGGGCAAGGCTTTCTTCTTCAAAATATTCCGTGTTATTTATAACCCATGATCCTACATTTACATTTCTGTTTTGATAATGAAAATGTCCAACGACACGAAAACTTGCAAGAGAAGATAGCTTGCTGGAGATTACTTATGATAAGAAATCTTTTGCTTTTCCAAGATTATTTACACGATGATACATACAGATGCGTGCGCATGCATGCAGTATGCAATTATCGCTGCAACATCAACGCGATAAAATGTATTAAAAATTGTAACGTTTTAACATATCATACGATCAGAAAAATTACACATGTCCATATTTATTTCACTATAAAATATTTAAATACTTTCTTTAAATTTAATATTTAATTTAATAGAGATTTTTCATTTCTCTATTGAAATATAGCTCTTATAGGCATAAGAAGAAATTTTTTTGTTATATAGATTTAATTAGCTTAAAATTTATTCTATAAAATTTATTCCATATTTATTTCATTATTATCAAAGAAATATTTTCATATATGAATAACTCGACAATTGGAAAATAAAATATAAATAAAACAAATATGAATTCCATCAAATGAATCTTATGTTGTCGCTTTTTCGTGATTCCTATTTGATTATTTTCTTTTTTTATAACGATATCGAACACGCATTATTGAAACTTGTTTGTCGCATTTAACGTGTCTGATATATATATATATATATATATATATATATATATATATATATATATATATATATTCGAACTGGCTTACATACATATACACGTAAGCTTGACAAATTATTTTTCTTCGGTTCCATCCGGTTTCATAAGAAGGCCATATCTGCTAAATGTCATCATCGATTTTAAATATTTTAAATGTAATTTTACACAGAATCGTTAATCAAACATGCACGATGCATATCGAGTGCTAGATAAAACTTAAAAGTAAAATTTACTTAATAACTCTTTTATTGAACATCGGAAAAGAAAATGATTCAGAACCTTTTGACTTGTTTTTCATTCAGAAATAATTTAATTTGTGAATGCGAATTTTGAAACGTCTTGTACACAAACGTGCATGTGCACACAGATGTACAATACAGCAGTACATATTATATAATAATTATAAATAATTTTATCATAATATTGTTTTTCTTTCAAAATATATATTGGCTTTGATGAGCTCATTAAGATTTATTTAATAAATATTTTAAAATATTTTTGTACACAAAAATTTTAATAGGAAGAGAGGGAGACGTGATTTTACGTTATCTGCGATTGCTTCATAGCAATTCGTATCAATTATATTCGCGAAATTATTTGTCGCATCGAAACACATGTATATACAAGCATATACGTGTATACTCTCATTTTGTATACATAAGAAATCAGACAAAACATACATACGAGCGGATCGGTTAGGTTAGCGCAGAGACCTTCACCGTATTTATTACAAATTGTAATCAGGCCAAACGATCGAGGAGACCATTTCTCCTCAATAATATTTAGAAATTTAATTGTTTCGAAAGAGGTCGATAACAGGAATTTGATTTATTAAGAGTGGGAATTCTGAGAAACTGAGAAAAATGCGAAGTCGTCGCGAGGATAGAGAAACAGATAGACATAAAAATAAATCTTTTTATTTTTAATCTTGACTAGAGTTCAATTTTATTCCTCCGAAATTTTCTACATAATTTATTTTACCATCCGCAATGATCGAATCTAAAAAAGGAAAGAATATCCAAACGTAAATTGGAACAACGATATTAAATATTAATTAGGTATTGTAAGAAGAATTCTCAATTATTGTTATAACTTAAAAGTCAACCGTTTCATTAACTAATGTACGAGACAAATCAGCTTAAAAAATTAAGCTTTGTTTTGTTTTCCATATTGAAATACTTGTCTATAATATCAAGAAATAAAATCAAATTATGAATTTGAACTTAAATATTAGCCACGCGATAGACCCACAAAGATAAAATTACTTTAAAAAATTAGATATTTAAGAGTTAAAATATCTAATCGCTAAATTGTATGTATTTGTCTCGTTTGGCAAATTTAATTTAAACGTCGGCCACGTTTGCCAGAAATTTAATTTAAACATGATCAACTCAACATAGTAAAGTCATCTTCCTATTATTATGCATCTGATTTTCTGCCAAATCAAGTCGATAAAGCTTGAATTCTTTTCTTTCAATGTTTAACGAAGAAATTATTAAGTAAATTAAGTCATTCAATGTTTAATGATGGAATTATTAAGTAAATTAAGTTGTTCTTTAAATGGGAATATAGCGAGCTACACTTTGTAATGTATATGAGAATGTAACGCGGTTTATATAAAATATAAGAGTATTTTCAAAGCATATACACATATAGCGATATAATTATAACAACAATAATCGAAAAGGATTGACAATCTTAGCAGATTCTTATTATCATAGCAGAATCTTATTTCTAATTTCCTTCAATCACAAGATGACATTCACTCTCTCTTCCGGGCTCTCCGTTCTCGAAGAAGCTCCTCCGTCATCGCTCAACGAAAAAAAAATAAAAATAATGATGACGCTAATGATTAAGACGCTCACATTCAACTCTCATACTGGAAAACATTTAAATAACTTCAGTAGCATAATTATTACTTGATTAATCAAAATACGAAATAATGTAATGATTGAAACCTGAATTTCTCCTTTTTTTTCTTCAGGTGGTGTAAAGAGTATGAGCCGGGAGAGTGGTGCGGGGGCCGGCGGCGGGGTTGGCGTTGGCGGTGGTAACAATACAACTTATACGCGTTCGGTGATACCACGCGAGCTGGCCCAAGATTTTGCGAGGCCACCTCGTCTCGACGTGCTCCTCGACATGCCGCCTGCCTCGCGAGAAACCCAAGTCCATCACAGCTGGAATGCCGACGACCGTAGTTTAAATATATTCGTTAAGGTATTAGTCACAAAAAGTATTCACTTTCAAAAACAATTTCAAAATCAACTCCACCTCCAGAAAAAGACAAACTTTGGAATTTTACACGGAAAAATTCATTATCACAACCCCAATCACTATCACACGGATAAACAAGACTTCAGTTCCTCCGAGGGCACTGACACAAAAATTTTACACAAGACTGACACAAAAATCTTACAAGAAATAACAAATTTTATCACAAAGCCAAGGGATATGTATTATGAAATTATTCAAAATGGACTCCGATTGGAATTATCCCTTTTTCCTAGAAAAAAACAATAGAAAGAAATAAATAAGTAAAAAAGAAAAAATTTCTATAAATTCTATAATAAAATAAAAAATTTTAAGAAATAAATAAGAAGTAAAAAAGAAAGAATTGAGAAATTCCAGAACTGGATGAATTTCAGGACAAAGAGTCAATACTTACCAATATATCACACCATTATGATTTTAACTTCATCTTCTATGAATACCTCTACCCTCTAGGGATTTTCTTTATTCCTAAAATTTTCCATTCCTGTTGCCAAATTATAGAAAATCTATAGTTCACATAACATCCTATTGACTATATAGTATATCGGAGTGAACCTTCAAGGAGTGGGAGTGTGTCAACGTGCAAGTTGGAATCGCTCTCTTTGTCAAGAGATTCCCTGATTGGTTAATGTTATTCTACTACCATAAGGTAGTATACTGTTGAAAAGAGATAAAGATTCCAACCTTAGTATTCCCATCCTTTTCTCCTGCTGCGATTTTCTATAGTTTATTATAGGGCTGGCTCATTCCATACTATATAGCTCAATGTTTTATCCTTGTTCATCGAATGTTAGACAAGGATAAAATGATATCTGAGTGCAGTCAAGTATTATTTGTGAATCGAGATGTCGCCATTTGAGAAATTCCTAGATGAAGATCTATATCTAGAGAAATTTACATAACTGCATAATCATATGCATAAAGAAAATTATCTAAAATTATCTATCGCGTTTTGCCGTGTATACCCCTACCAAATTAGAGATTGAAATCATGATTGAAATTGAAATTGGAATTTTAATAAGACCTGATTGCATCAACGTTATTTTGGCTTTAACAATTTAAACAAAATTTAAATATATATCTGTCTTTATCTTTCTTTCTATATAAATAAAGATAGACACTAAATAAATAAAGCCAAAATAATATTGGTGCAGCTGGGCTTAATCCGAATAAAGTTCATTAAATTTAAGATTGATGATTTTTTCTGATTGATTAAATTCCGATCTAATCTTAATCTTTGTCTTTAGTCTGATACCGATTTTATGATAGAAACGTGATTGGACAATTTTTGTATACATATAATTTAGAGTGACACCCGTTTGACCACGTCCTGATTGACCTACTAGCCACTCACAACGCTTGAATAGTGGAAAAATTCTAGACGCTGGCCCCTGTGAGTGGCTAGTGGTCAATCGGGACATGGTCAAACTGGTGTCACCCTATAATTTATGTAGCTATGCAAATTTGTCTGAATAGATCCTAAAACTTTGTATCCGCGATACTAGAATCTCAAATGGAAAGAGAATTTATTAATCACATTAATCAATTAGCCAAATTATTCAATGAAATTAAATAAAATTTAATTCTCTTTTTGTCCAAAATCTCGGACCAATTTCTAGAGCATCGTAGACACAAAATTTAAAAATATATACTACATGGATAGAACACCACAGGGTGCTTAAACACAAAAAATGAGAGAAATGTTTATTGTAATAGATACGAGGGATCATGATGAGCAGCTAGTCAGATAATTTGACGGAATGTAGTCATAAAAATTTGTCCAGAACTGATTATCTCTCAATGTCAGTAGCTATTCTATAGCTGTCCTATGACTGAGTGAGATCATAACAAAGAAAAATCATACTTGTCCAATTTCAGCATTTAAAATTTTTACAAATAAAATATAATATTTTTTTATTTTTTTATTTTTTTTTAGGAGGACGATAAGTTAACGTTTCATCGACATCCTGTCGCGCAAAGCACAGATTGCATACGAGGGAAAGTGGGGTACACCAAGGGTATGCATGTATGGGAACTTTATTGGAGCACGAGGCAACGGGGTACGCACGCCGTGGTAGGAGTCGCGACAGCGGATGCTCCTTTACATAGTGTCGGCTATCAGAGTTTAGTCGGAAACAACGAACTCAGTTGGGGTTGGGATCTTGGTAGAAATAAACTCTATCATGATTCGAGAAATAATAATGGCGTAACGTATCCAGCCCTTCTCAAGTCCGACGAAACATTCATTGTTCCTGATAAATTTCTGGGTAAGGCTCCTATATAATTAAGAATTATCATATAATTATGAATTATCAAAGTGTGTTGTGTACCAGAGGCAGATTTTCTTTACGAATATGAGTATTAGTTTAAACTAATTGTAATGCAATTTTTCTCCACAGTGGTTCTTGATATGGACGAGGGTACATTAGCATTCGTGGTAGATGGTCAGTATCTTGGAGTAGCGTTTAGAGGGCTCAAAGGAAGAAAATTGCATCCTATTGTGTCTGCCGTTTGGGGACATTGTGAGATCACGATGAAATACATCGGCGGACTTGATCGTAAGCAGATAATTGTAATAATTATTTTGAAAAGATTTATCATCATTTCACGAAGATGTTTCAATTTTGAAAACCAAATTTTTTTTGTCTGTTCCTTAAATATTTATTTAATGAACTTACATCAGAACTTATTAAAACAATAAGAGATTAAAACATATAAGATATCTGTTAAATTTTATTGCAGTATCTTACAGTATATTGCAGTTCTGTTGTTAGTGTTGTTATTTTCTTTTAATTAAATGTTTGTCTTCTTCTTGACAGCTGAACCTCTGCCTCTCATGGATCTATGTCGAAGAGTGATTCGACAACGAATCGGTAAACATAGATTAGAAGAGAAGATCAATGAGCTGAACCTACCGCAAACGATGAAGACTTATCTTCTGTATCGGGACAGAAGGTAACCATTGAGTGAATCTCCTCAAGATGCCACCACGATTATGACTGCGAACATCACCGTGCTACAACGTTGCCACTATGACGCACAGGCGACCGTCCGCTATCCCCTCGCATGCCACCAAGGACAGCAACCCCTTAGCCGCGCGTCTCCGTTAATCAAGCGCACGATGTTCAACAGACTGACATGCGTCATGCGACGACGCGTTGAGACACGCCTAGCACCACGAGAAAACGCGCTGAGGGAGCGGCGCCGAAATACTGTACTAATAACAACTCGTGGTGCTCTTATCAGGACAAGTCACAACGACTGCAATCCTCATCGTCGTTATTATTATCGTCGATAAGTTTAATTGCGATTGCAGCAAGGTTGAGAGGCAGAATGAAAAGAAGGGGACTTTAATGAAATTTAGAAAGAAACATTTCTAAATTTAGATTTCTAAATTTAGGTGATATTGTTGTTTTATGTTGCGTGTACTTTATCCCCGGATAGAATTATTGTACATTTATTAATTATTAAAAAATTGTACCGAGCAACGACGATTTCGGTACTTTCGCATTGGCAAAAATGCGTGTATATATTATGCGATTCTCTTTTCTTTTTTATTTTTAATCATTCACTTTACTGACGATGCGTGTGTATGGTGAATAAAATTATGCCAGATGGTGGCAATGCGGTACAACAATTTATGTGAGATGTCGGAGACGCTTAGTTAAAGATGGAAAGCAAAGGATTATGCGAAAAAACGAAGAGAGTACAGCGCTTCACAGTTGGCCAGTAAAAAAAAATAAACTTAATCAAGCTTGGAAGCTGATACGGACGTGTCGCACTTATTTACAACGTTGATTGATAGTGGACAGCGCTGTTGGCTCATAATCTAATCACAGTAGAAAAATGGTGGAACAGCAAGAGGGAAAAAAAGCGAGTCGAGGAAATAGAAGATGCAAAAAAATTTTCTACGATGAAAAACGATACTCAACGAGAAATGTGACCTCAATCGATGATGATTGTGGAACAATTAATTCAATTTGGAGACGTGTGTAATAGTGATGGACATCGGGCAGCCACCTTCCAATAGACTCATTTTTCAAGTATTTTCTAAGCATGCTAGATTTAATAAAGTATAGTGGTGTGTGCGTGTATCGTGGATGGATATGAAGTAAGACAGAGACGACGAGGGAAGTACGACAGAAGGAAGAACAAAGATAACCCTGCCATAATATTCTCTTTAGCAGTGTTCGAAAACGTAGACTTTACAATTGCGAATTCTGCGGAGGAGAGATCGAGTGGAGAATGCGAAGGAGAAAGGGTAAGCATCTGCAACTCGCGCTGTGGTGAATCGGATAAAAGACGTCTAAGTAAACTAATAACGAAAAGCATGTTACTAAAATTAATTATCTCTACATCTAATTGATTTAAAAAAAAAAGTGCTGTAATAACTTGCGAAAATAGTATGTATTTAACTAATGTTTAAGAGAAGCGAGTGAATAAACGGGCATTGGCACAAATTATTCCAAACGCGAATTAAAACTGTCATGAAGAGCCGCCATGTAGTAAATATAATCCGATATAATCCGAAAGAATGACGAATAATGACCGATGTATCGGATTATACTTATCACGGATTACTCATTGTAATGATTATCGGATTATTGATCGTAATAGTTACAATAACGATAATGACGACGATGAACAATGATGCTGATTATATCGGATATGTAACTATTATACTATTAGCATGACAAATCTTACGACTGGTCTCTAGTATCTCTTTATTCTTACGTTTGTCGCTTAGGTTAAAGACTACGCCACCGTCACCGTCGATTTGTAAATAGATATATTGATAATATTGTACGACGACGTATACGCATGTGTATTGTGAACAACGATTGTATCCGTAACTGCGGAGCAGGCAGACCGAATGCGAGAATAATACACCATCTTCATCGTTTCATACAAAGTAATCATCTCGCGTCGTCAGACCTCCGTTTCGAGGTATATCTTGCTTTCTTACGCGATTCGCGAAATCGTTTCGATTTTTAATTGTTGATCATCATTGTTTACATTATCATCTTAAACTTGTCCAAAACTCGCGTCTTCCAAATTATCGTCAGTCGTTCGAAATCTTTGTATGACCGTTTTAAGTCTCGCGTCTTGAAATCGTGTTTGCTTTTGCGCCTGTGCCGATTATGTTTCTTTTTTGGTGCAATTTTCAATGACTTGTTCGAACGGGCCCTCCGCTCACTCGCTGGACCGCATTCCAACAGTCATCGCAAAATTAGGCCCACAAAAGCGGCCAGTCCCGCATCGTGCGACGTTATCAAAAGCATGCACGATCTCGCACTCGGGAAAGTTTGATCGCCCAGCTCTGCGGTTCTCAATACCATACCCGGGAGCTATCAGCGACGTTTGTCTTCGCTATCGTCCTCTCGTATCGCGAAATGCAGCACGTGAATCTGCGACGCGAACGGATCGAATAATAAGAGACGGATGCGAAGACGACTCGATCTCTTTGAGAAAATATCATCTCTTTCTATCGGCACGTCGTCGGAAGTAATTCTGTTTTGTAGTGAAAACAGAGAGCGGGATAAACAGAGGGAAGTACAGCGAGGACGGCAATGAACTTCTGTACGAAGGAGAACTCGTCCTCGTTTTTACTGCACACCAGCAGCGAATAATTTACTTTGTCATCTTTTATTCGGCGCCCGAAGGCATGAAGGCAAAAATGCGACGAAACAGTTCTCTCCGGTGGGGCGACAAGCATACCGCGCAAAAAAAAAAAAAAAAGATACGATTCTAAGTAAAGTACGTGTAAGAGGGAACACAGAAAGCGTACTCGAAGACGCCTCAAGCACGTTCACAATTCAATGTATATTCATTCATACGTGTCGTTCATATATCGTTATATGTGCGCGAGAAAACCGGAAAATTAGTACACGCGCGCGCACACCCTCAGAGAGGTAAGGTTTTTTTCCCGCAAGTATACTTATTGCTACCCGTTGAACCGATACTGTTTTATATGAATCATTGCCTATAGGAGCGCATGTCACGAGCCGAGCATGAGAGAGGACAAAAATAGGATGAAAATATTGTACAAAATTATTATTAATGATCAATATTAATATTATTATTCTATGTCCCAATAGTTTAATTAATTAATTACTCGGTCGCCGTTATCGTGTTAGTCAAGTATTTACAAATATTATGATATAATTGTGGTTTCAGTTTTTATTACGATAGGAAGAAATATGTATGCGATCGATTGATATAACGATTAAACGTTAAAGAGAGAGAGAGAGAGAGAGAAAGATAGATTTTTTTCTCCGATTATCTTTAGCTCATGAATCCTTTGAAGCATAAATTTTAGCATAAATTTTTAGCAATGAATTATATTTAATTTTAATTGAGTTTACAGCTAAAAGTGATGATCTGCGAGCAATGAAATGGAAACAATGAAATTGAAGATATCAAGTATATTAATGTGATGTTTCGAGTTTTCTTTTGTTGCAAAATTTTAAATATCACTACAAATATATAATATAGTTACAAAAATAAAATTCATTTGAGTTTAAAATATTTAATAATTATTACATTAAATATTTATATTAATAATTATGTTTTAAAACAGGACTTTTAGATTTTTGTGTTATCTGTTTAATATAAACATATATTTATTTTTCGTCAATTAGTTTGAAATTATTGTCATAAGCTTAAATTTAAATTTAATTTGCATTTACAATCTTTACAATCTTTTTTACAATTTTTTTTTTACAGATATAGATATGAATAAATGTTTTTTTCAGAAAGTAATTTTTTCATTGTTTCTTTTTGAGTGTTTGCTCGCAATTTGATGTAATTAAAATGTAAATTAATGAAAAAAACGTGAGCCAAATAATATGCATAATTGAGTTTTGTTACAATTCAATTCAGTTTTTTTATGTCACAATACATGAAATAGAAGAAATTAAATTACATCTTTAAGATTACAATATGTAACCTATTGAAATTAAATAATTTGAAAAAAATTGACAAAATAACAATTGTACAATAATTTATAATTTTGTAATTTTGTAGTACAATATTTTATCAAAAAGAAATTGAATACATATTTTACATTTTTACAAGTAAGCTTCTTTTATCCGAAGCCGAAAAAGAGCTGAAAGGATAGTGATTGGACTATCCTGATTTTAACTTACATTGATCGATCGCACATAACGATAAGCACAGGCAAGCTAGCTTTTAACAATAAAACCACGACAGCGTCCGATTCGTTGGCATGCGTCGCGGAAAGTGTTCCAGCAAAATTCGCGTGGCTGTTGCAAGGATTAATTTCCGTGAACTGCCTGCCCACCTGCCCTTGCAAACTACGTTGCCTCGACAAATGTGTCTAATTTATTGATGCTGCGATGTATCATGGGACGATAATCAAGCAAGTTATTAGTTTAATCTGACTAAATAAACAAATTAGTTTAATTGAATGCTAGTACTTTAAAAAGAAAAAGGAAATACACGTAAGAAAGAGAATGAGAACGTGCTAGCGTGTTTGTATGCGTGATGAATGTATATTGCATGCATACGTGAATGCTGTGAATACCTGGTATTCAGCATTAATCTTTTCGTTCCGCTTTTTCGTTCGCAAATTGTTATCGCTTGATTTTGAATTTTATCGAAGTGTCGTATTAGTCGTGATCCAGAAATAAATTTCGGTTTTCTCATGATAATAGCTCAACAATTGCTCTGTAGAATACATTATTGTTTGATAATATGTAATAACATCTAATATTAGCTACAGGAATAAACATGAAAAGAAAAGATCTTCGTAGGAATTATTTTTTTATACAATCTACTTGAACAAAGAGATGCCGAACTGTGTATTCAAGAGTTTAATATTCGATCAGAAATTAACTATTTGATGCACAGTTGCATGATAGAATATTTTTCACGATAGTGATCAGAGTCGTAAAGTTATGTTTAATTTGAATTAATTCAGATTAAAAATTATTTTACGCCAAAATAATTATATTTTGAAGCAGATTAAGATAACTGTTCAAAATTTTAAATATGTGAATACTTTATATTATTATAAATACTGTAATGTATTTAAAATTCAAAGAATTTTAAACTTGAATTGCACATAAAGAATATGTAATATTTTTGGAGATTTGTTATCTTGAATATTGACTTAATTTACAATGATTTGTATAAAACTATACTTCTTTTTTAATTTGTATATTTAAACCTATAAATAATAGAATGCTCTTTAGCATTGTTTAATAAAATTATAATATATTTATTTTAAAAATTTTTTAAGTATGAAAATAATTAGATAGAATTTCATTGTCTTGATGCTTTATTTGTCAATATCAAAAATAAAATTAAGTAAAAAAAATTGAAATAAACTTAAAAGAAATAAAAAAAAAATGATAAAATTAAAAGTTTACAAGTTACAATATTCACTGTCAGTAAATAATGAAAACTTACGATATCTGTAACATGAACTTTTCAACAGTGTATATTAAAATATAGCCATGTTTATATGCGTGTGAATTAAAAATGCAATTTATTATCTATGTATAAATATAGTATATTTTGAATATAAAGTATCCCTCATTTTTTTATTTATTTTTATTAAAATATACAATTATATAAATCATGTATCCTGTATCTAAAGTTTAGAGGATTGTATTAAGAACTCGGTTCCTAATAGCCGAATTGTAAAGACATAAAACAAGTCTTATGATATTCTTATTTCTTAAAATCAAGTAATTTCTTCGTTGTATATTTCTATTGTTTGTCATCAATAGTTACAAACACATTTTTAATTAATATTTAAGATATATATATTTAAGATATATATATATTTGTAAATATATGCATGTAATACTGTAAAATGAATGAAGAAGAAATTACACGATCAAAAGAAACGAAAGAAATATTATCTGTCTAGTTAAACTCATAATTTTTGAAATTCTATAAAATTATTGTTTTTTAAAAACTTAATTGTGTGATTTTTTTTTTTTTAACAAGAATAGATTACTTTTCTAGTCATTTTACATTATTAAAATACTAGGATTATTTTATAAATAAAAAGAGTAGTTTAAATTTAAAAGATATTTCAAAATTTAGTTTGGCATATCTTAACATAAAGTATAACATGTTTTGTAAAAAGATTTCACTTTTAACTGACTTTGCTATTTTTACTATCGCTACTATTTACGTGATAAATATCATTCTAAAAAATATTTAGATTATAATCTGTACATATAATATAACTTGTATTCATATGTGTGTTATTATTTAACATAAATAGGTATATTTAACAATTTTATTCGCATTTTCACTACTTATGTTTAGAATTTTTCTTACTTTGAAAATTTATTTTCTGAAGTAAACATATACAAGCGACTTTTGATTTGTTACTTTATTAATTATTCGTGCACAATTATGTAATGTTTCTGTAATTATTGATAATTAATTCGATTAATTTTAAGATTCTCCAAAATTTTATCTTTTGTAATTTTTAAAAAATGTATATTAAGAATGTATTAGAAATCACATCAATTTTTGACAAAATCGATGTTTAGTAATATCGTTATAATTCTAATATTTGTATAATTTTATGCATACACGTATACTATATTATGAATTTTTTAGTTATATATATCGCTATTTGACATCTAACACCGATACTTATTAAAAAATATTCAAAATGTTGGTATAAAAACAGATAGGTATTATTTTATGATATCGGTATATATTACTAATGAAATTATTTTTCGATGTTTTGTCCCTGTCCATGACAACAATGATAATATACTAATTTTTGTTAATTAGTTTTATATTACGGGCCACTCGAATTATGCTTTAAAATTTTGAATTTATATTCAAAATTTGGAAATATTTATGCATTACTTGCTCAGCGTCTTTATTAGCGTATTTAAATAATTTCAATTTACATTTATTGTCAGATAAAATTTAATCAATGTAAATTTTATTGTTATTATATTATTTCGTCGGTCTTTTTCTGTTAAGAAATTATAGAATATCATAAAAATGAATTTTTCACTGCAGTACCGTCATTTCAATTGTGTACATTGTCATTACTATTATTGTTATTATCATTATAATTACTATTAGTTTGCTATTTGTTCTGCCACAATTTTTATTAAAAATATTATGTTTTGTCATTTTTGTAATTCATTATTCTTTTATTAGTAAGTAAATTAAATATTTCTATGTGTTATGTAAATCGCTGCAATTAATGTAAATTAATTTAATTATAAAAATAAAGAATTTAGGAATAAGAACAGTCAAAATTGTTGATTACAGCTAAGAAGAATTAAGAAAATTATGTGCATAAAATTATACAAATAGTTATATAAATAAAATTTTAACATATTGCAACATACAATATGCGGTATTTCCACAAGAATTATTAAACTGCTATTCAATTATACATGAAATTGTTGTAACCAAACGAGTCACAATTAACAAATTATTTGTTTTTATTTGAAATTGCAAGTTTTTACAAAAATATCAAAATTAAAAAAAATGTTTTGTCACTTACAGTTTTACACAAATCTTTGCAAAAAAAAATTCTGTGAGCAAATTGATATTTAATATAACTTATCTCCGAATTATTATGTATTTTACAAGTGAAAGAAAAATTGGATAAGTAGGATAATTTTAATGTAGGAGTCGATTAAATATTATCTCATATATAACATTTAATCTTGATACTTTTAGAGTATTAAAATGAGTTGTTTTCATAGATAGGACAAAAAATGAATCATTCATAATAGAAACAATTGTTAAATTCAACTCTCATTTCATTTTTCTAACATTAAAAAATACTAAAGTTCTTAGTCTTCGAAAAAATCATATCACTTAAAGTGGAAAGAGAGAGATCACTCGAAAAAATCTCGGAGTTAACTTTGCAATCCCTATTTTAACTTTTCTCAAAGCTCTACGAATAACTCGAATAGTCTCGTAGATCTCTAGAGGGGGGGGGAGGGTAAAGTTTTCACAAAAGAATTCTGCCTAAAATGCTCTCCCAAGATTAAATTCGAGACGAGAAAACAATAGTCAACATCCAATGTTTAAAAGATATTACTCTTGTGACAGATCTCGTAATATCGCACAGACTGTACAGACAGAAAGGAGCGATGTTCTTTTTTCAACGAGATTTTAAAAACGGAAAGACAAATATTAGACTTCACGTGGTGTATATATATATATATATATATATATATATATATATATATATATATAG